TCAAGACCAACCTGGGCAACGTAATGAGACATTGTCTCTAATTTAAATATGGTTTAAATTTTTTTATTTTTAATTAAATTAAATTAATTAATTAATTTTGAGACTGAGTCTTGCTCTGTCGCCCAGGCTGGAGTGCAGTGGCATGCTCTCAGCTCACTGCAACTTCTGCCTCCCGGCTTCAAGCAATTCTTGTGCCTCAGTCTCTCAAGTAGCTGGGATTATAGGCACCTGCCACCATGCCTGGCTAATTTTTGTATTTTTAGTAGAGATGTGGTTTCACCATGTTGGCCAGGCTGGTCTTGAACTCCTGACCTCAAGTGATCCGCCCATCTCGGCCTCCAAAAGTGCTGGGATTACCAGTGTGAGTCACTGCGCCTGGCCTGATTTTTATTTTATTATTTTATTTTTTTGAGATGGAGTTTTGCTCTTGTTGCCCTGGCTCTTATTGCTCTTGTGTAATGGCGCAATCTTGGCTCCCTGCAACCTCCGCCTCCCAGGTTCAAGCAATTCTCCTGTCTCAGCCTCCTGAGTAGCTGGGATTACAGGCGCATGCCACTATACCCGGCTAATTTTGTATTTTTAGTAGAGATGGGGTTTCTCCATGTTGGTCAGGCTGGTCTCGAACTCCCGACCTCAGATGATCCGCCCACCTCAGCCTCCCAAAGTGTTGGGATTACAGGTGTGAGCCACCGCTCCAGGCCTGATTTTTATTTTAATTGAGACAAGGTCTCATTATGTTGCTCAGGTTGGTCTTGAACTTCTAGTCTCAAGCAATCCCTGCACCTCAGCCTCCCAAATTGCTGGGATTATAGATATGAGCCACCACACCCCACCTAGGAGTTAGTATTAAGAGTAGCATGGCCCTAGGCCAGGTGCAGTGGCTCATGCCTATAATCCCAGCACCTTAGGAGGCTGAGGTGGTCGAATCACGAAGTCAGGAGTTAAAGACCAGCCTGGCAAATATGGTGAAACCCCCATCTCTACTAAAAATACAAAAATTAGCCAGGCGTGGTGGCACGCTACTGTAGTCCCAGCTACTTGGGAGGCTGATACAGGAGAATCACTTGAACCTGAGAGGTGGAGGTTGCAGCGAGCCAAGGTCGTGCCACTGCACTCCAGCCTGGGGAACAGAGCAAGACTCCATCTCAAGGGAAAAAAAAAAAAAAGAATCACTATTACTGCTTTTTCCATTTGCCTCTGACTTCTCTGATACGGCTCAGCTTGGTACTGGCTGTCTTTACAGGCCTTGGGGGAAAGCGGCAGATGCAGCTACAGAGATGAGCTCCATGATAGCAATGGGATGATGAGGTCCCACCATCACTACTTGCCCTCCTTAAGTAGTGTCAGTTTGGACCTTGTTTCCTACTTGAGTGATGCTTAACTGTCAGCAGCAAGGTGGGCACAATGATCACAATTAGCATAAGGTCAGAATGGTTGACCTGCAGAAATACGTGATTCATACAACTGGGTATCCTTAGAGGCAAGATTGATGGGCAGTCTACAAGGGTACTGCTCAATCTATGCAACCAAGATAAATAAATATGAATCATCAGGAGGCTGAAGGCATTTGTCCCAATTAAAAAAAAAAGTCATCTTCAGCTAGTTTCCAGACCTGAGGTAGTTTTCAGACCTAGAAATTTGAGTTCAGATCATCTAATTGAAGGAGAAGCTAGGTCCCCAGGAAGGATTGTTTAACACTACAGTATTTGTTTTGTTTTCCTTTTTTCTTTTTTTGTTTTTGTTAGTATTTGTTAATACTAACAAATTCCCTTAATACTTCTCCAAAGGGAACTTTTGCTCTGGTACCTATACACTGGGAAAAGTGGAATAACCAAATATTTTAAGACCTGCGGGACACAAGGTCCAAATTGACATTGTTATCCAAAGTGTCATAATATCCTATTAGAGTGGGTGTATATAGGGGCCGGGTCAAACATGAAGTTCTCACCCACGTCTGGCTCACAGTGGCAAGGACCCACCACATCTTATTTCCCAAGTTCTCGAAGTTGGTTAAGGGACTCTTGCCTGTAATCTCAGCACTTTGAGAGGCTCAGGTGGGAAGATCACTTGAGGCTAGGTGTTCGAGATTAGCCTGGGCAATACAGCAAGATCCTGTCTCGACAAAAAATTTAAAAAGTAGGCAGGTGAGGTGGCTCACGCCTGTAATCCCAGCACTTTGGGAGGCCGATGTGGGTGGGTCACTTGAATCCCGGAGTTCAAGACCAGCTTGGCCAACATGGCAAAGCCTTGTCTCTACTAAAAATACAAAAATGAGCTGGGTGTGGTGGTGCACATCAATGGTCCCAGCTACTAGGGAGGCAAAGGTTACAGTGAGCTGAGATCGCACCACTGCACTCCAGCTTGAGTGAAAGAGTAAGACTCTGTCTCAAACAAAATGAAACAAAAAATCAAAAAGTAGCTCGGCATGGTGGTGTGCACCTATAATCCTAGGTACTCAGGAAGCTGAGTTGGGAGAATCACTAGAGCCCAGGAATTTGAGGCTGGAGTGAGCCACTGTACTATAGCTGGGGCAACAGAGCAAGACCTCATATCTAAAAACAAAGCAAAACTAAACTAAAGAAGTGGGCCTGTGGGATAAGAACTATCACATTGGGATTTATTAGGGAAACTGGCTCCTGCAATTTTGGAGACTAAGTTCCTTGACAGGCCATCTGCAAACTGGAGGCCCTGAGATTCTGGTAGGTCAGTCCAAGTCCCAAGGTTTAGAACCAACGAAGACAATAATCTAACTCAGTCCAAGGCCAAAGGCCTGAGAACCAGGAGGAAGGTGTAGGGGTAGGGTGCTGCTGGTATAAATCCAGGATTCCAAAGGCTGAGCAGCTTGGGGTTGTTGTCTAAAAAACAACAATAGAGGAAGAATGGATGTAGCCAGCGTTGGCGCATAAACTGACATTTTCACCTTTTCTCTGCTTCTGTTCTTCCTGGGGTCCCCATCAGACTGGATGGTACTTGGCCACACGGAGGGTGGATCTTCCCTACCTAGCCCACTTGTACTCACACGCTAAAATCTGGAAATACCCATACAGACACACCACAAAAATAGCTTTACCAGGTTTCTAGGTATTCCTTAATCCAGTCAAGCTGACACTTAAAATTAACCATCGCATTTTTTTTTGAGACGGAGTCTCCCTTTGTTGCCCAGGCTGGAGTGCAGTAGCGTGATCTCCTCTCACTGCAAATTCCGCCTCTCGGGTTCAAGTGATTCTCTTGCCTCAGCCTCCTGAGTAGCTGGGATTACAGGCACATGCCACTATGCGCGGCTAATTTTTGTATTTTTAGTAGAGGGGGGTTTCACCGTGTTGGTCAGGCTGGTCTTGAACTCCTGACCTCCTGGTCCGCCCGCCTTGGCCTCCCAAAGTGCTGGGATTACAGGTGTGAGCCACCACGCCTGGCCAAAAATTTTAATTTATCAAATTTATTCTTTTACTGATGCTAATAAAAATCAGTGGTGGCTCACGCCTGTGATCCCAGCACTTTGGGAGTCTGAGGCAGGAGGACTGCTTGAGGTCAAGACTTTGGGACCAGCCTGGGCAATATAGTAAGATCTCATTCTACAAAAAACAAAATATTAGCTGGGTATGGTGGCCCATGTTTGTGGTACTAGCTACTCTTGAGACTGAGGCAGGAGAGTCTCTTGAACCTTAAGGTCGAAGTTAAGTTGAGCTGTGATCGAACCACTGCCCTCCAGCTTGGGCAACAAACCAAGACTCTGTGTCAAAAAAAACAGAAAAAAAAATCCTTTGTGTCACCTGATCCAAAGAAGGGAGTCTGTGAGAGGGAAAGAGGGAGCAAGGCTGCAGGTCAGGAGTCACCAAGGACAGGTTATCTTAAGCTCTCAGTCCAGTGCCATTGTCCATATATCTCCCACCTACCCCTAGCCTCAGGAAAATGGCTCCTCACTGTACCCAAAGTAGACATGGGGTCTTTCTGCAAGAGGAATACATCCATACCATTTTCCTCCCTTCAAACGACCATAATGACCCATGGTATGGTTAGTATTTGGGTTGTAGGTTTATCACATGGCGAGGTACTCCTTTCTTTGTGATGGCTCTAACCTTGATAACTACCTGTTTTCCTGGGCTGCTTCCGGGACCCATCTTTCTGAGCCTTTCTTTTTTATCGTCGAAGTCCAAGATCATTGTGACAGTACAAGGTTATGATATTTTAATTGATGTCTAGGAAAACAGACTGCATTCTGATCTATTAAAATTCCTGATTTAGGAATGCCGTCTACGATTTAAGAGAAACATTTAATGAATGTTAATAATGACGATGAGTGGTTTTCTAAGAACCCATAAAAAGGCTTTAAAAGGGTGGCAAGATTCTCACTGTGCAACTCAATAACGATTTGTGAGGCTCAACGAAATTCTTACCCAAATTATTTGCAATTATTAAACAGAAAGAATGAAAAATGACCTTGAATTACAGGGCGAAAGATGAGACTGTTAAGACTGTCTTTGTCACTAAGCACTGTAAAGACTGAGACAGCTGCAAGGTAAAGTTTTCCTCGAGTTCTTCTGGTGAATTGTGGGAAAAGGGATTGAACGTCTGAGGTCTCTTCCAGCTCTGAAACCGCAGTGTTTCGTACAGTGTTCATTTTTTTTTTTATGGGAGGGGTCTCGGGGTCTTGCTCTGTCGCCCGGGCTGGAGGCTGGAGTACAGTGGCGCGACACGATTACGGCTCACGGCAGCCTTGAACTCCTGGGCTCAAGCGATGCTCCCACCTCAGTCTCTAGAGTAGCTGGGACTCAGTGTCTGTTCTTAACTCCCCTCGTAGAAGCCACTTTCCTCCAGGGCAAAGTTACTTACTTAAGGACCTTACGGCTTAGCCCGAGGATTTCCTGGGTCACCACGCAGGCGGCTTCAGGTCCCAACCGTGACTCCTCCCCCACCCACAATGCACCTCGCGGTTCCCTCTAGGTGGCAGCTGTGTCACGTGTCACCCGACGGAGCGCGCTCCTGTTTGGCGCACGCGCAGAGTGCAGCCCCCAGCTATTTTTTTTTCTCCGTGGCGGCGGCGACGAGCGGAAGTTCTTGGGAGCGCCAGTTCCGTCAGTGTGTTCGAGTGGACAAAATGGCGAAGATCGCCAAGACTCACGAAGGTAAGCAGTCTTTCCCTGCTTACGTGTTTTCTTGGTTGCTAGCCTACTAAGAGCCTTTCTTCCTAGGATTCTGCCTTTTCCTATGGTTTATTTCATGGGAGCCGAGCCCGCGTTTCGGGGCCAAGGGTCGTCTCCTCCGCGCCAGCGGCGCAGGCCACTGCCCCGCGTAATGGCGTCCTCCTTTTACACCCCCGACAGGCGCTTTGTTCGGTGTTTGGGACCTGCTACTTCAGAGTAGCTTCTCTTCTCTGACCAGAGGGCCTCGTTTAAGCGGCTACCTCAGTAGGATTCGTGGGCAAGGGATCTGGGAAGCGGGCGTGGGGAGAAAGTCTCACTCGCCTGTCGGCAGGGTCGTCCGCATAGTTTATGCAGAAGAGGGTCAGAAAAGCACTGAAATACGGCAGCCGCTTTTCCGGCAGGACTGAATCGAATTTAGTTAAACCGAGATTCCATTACTCCTGCCCCCGTGTGTGTTCAAGCGTCAGTGTTACTTGCTTATTTTTCTTGCACGAAACGATTTGGGGATAAAATCTGGTAGTTTTCCCTCCCTTAGTCACTTTTAGTATAATATTGATCTTTTTCTTTGGAGACTGGTTATTGGAAGAGCTAGATGGAAAAGGAAAAGATAAATTACTTTCATTAATGGCCGAAGCTTTCAAACTAGTTGATCGTTTTATGGAATGCAGAGTGTACAAATTAGGAAAACGTTGGGAATAGACTGGAGTTCATTAGGAAATATCCAGAGATGACAGGAAGCGGGATCACTTTTCAGAAAAGACGAGGCATGGGAAGTTGGAACTGCATTCATTGATTTCTGACTTGGAATCCGAGATTTTCACTGAGAACGAGACTTCTAATTCACTTTTGTTTCATATGTACTTTCTGGGTATTTGGCTCGGTATTAGTCTGTGAGAGGTAACAGACTGAGGCCATCCAAAATTTTACAGTCAGATAGGGGAAACAGATGTGTATGTCCTCATTCTCTCATGAGGCCAAATGCATGCTTAAGTAGAAGAACAAACAACATGTTCTAGGAACCTGGATAACGGAATTATTATGCTTAGCGTTATTTCGCTGAAGAGGTTACATGTCCCTGTTTTAAAAGGATCAGTTTTAAATCGGGAAGGACACCTGAGCCTGAGAACATCTTGTAACAAGGTATTGAATCGTGAAAGGTGTGTTTGAGTTGTAGTCCACTGTGGCAGGAACAGTGGGTGCAAGGAGAGAAGAAATAAATGAATCTGTAAAGGTTGGTTTAGGACCAGAATATGGATGGGTTTGAATCTTTGGGTCACCCAGAGGACCTGAAGTCCAGTTTTCTGCTGTTTATCAGACATGCTAATGAATTGGCAATGGCTTTAATACCAGTATTATTTTAGGTATTTAGGATTTAAATGCTCTCTTAGTGTTCTTAGGCCTTATTATTTTTCTTTAGACTATCTCAAATATAACCTTTTGCAAAATAAGTAGAAAATATAAAGATGTGCTGTTTTTGTTCATTCAGGAGGTTATTCACTTGGGGATATTGATAGTATAGCTTTGATATTTATTGGTAGCATAAGATGCTCTCAAACAGGAAAATCAAAGTTCTGATCAGTTTTCCTGAATTTTTTAGAAACCCAGCTAAAAGCTTTGGTTTATTGCTATTCATTGTCCAAACTTGTTATTTTTGAGATTATTCTATCAATGTGAATTAAGTGATGCCATAAGAAAATAGCAGAACATTCAATACTTGAATACTGTCTGTGCCCATCCCTATGGGTTATAAGTCAGGGGATAATAAATGTTTAGTAGAAATACACATAATACTGACATAGCTTCTTGCTTCCTTCCTAATGACATTTTCTTGGTGGAACTCTAGTTATTCATGGTCCATCACTGTTTTCTCTTGTTAAGCCATTTTTGATAAACTGAAGCAGAATTAATGCTTTTAGGGGCAGTGCTGCCATAGCACTCAGTATAAATTGTGTTAAGATTTTCTCTTCTACTTAGCTCCAAGATTAACTGGTAACTATTTATTTATTTTGCTATCATATTCTTTCCAAACATTTATTTTTTTATTTTTTATTTTTATTTTTTTTTGAGATAGAGTCTTGCTCTGTTGCCCAGGCTGAAGTGCAGTGGTGCAATCTCAGCTCACAGCAACCTCTGCCTTTTAGGTTCAAGCTATTCTCCTGCTTCAGCCTCCCGAGTACTGGGATCACAGGCATGCACCACCACACCTGACTGATTTTTGTAGTTTTAGAGACAAGGTTTCGCCATGTTGGCCAGGCTAGTCTCAAACTCTTGACCACAAGTGATCCTTCCACCTCGGCCTCCCAAAGTGCTGGGATTGCTGGCATGAGCCACAATGCCTGAACCCTTTCAAACATTTCTATTAGGATCAGGCCTCACATCCTCTTTAACCAATCTGATTATATTTTACCCTGGCCAATGTGGCGTATGCTTTCCAGGATTGAAATATAAAAAGAGCTGGACTTACTCAAATCAGATAAAATCTTTTAGATCTTTCCGCATATTAAATTGTGTCAGGTGTATGGTTATGAATATGCATAATCTTGCCATCCAGCAGTTCTTCAGATACTGCTGACTTTGGCAAACAAATAGGGAACACATATTCTTCTCTGTTTTGTAAGGGGAAAAATGGATTAATCAAAAATCCTGTGTATCAGCTTGTTTTGCCATTAATCCTTTGAATTAGATTTTTTGGTACATCACCAAGCTGAAAAAGTTTTTTCCCTAATTCTTTGCTTGATGAGTGGCTGGAATAGTTATAGTTTTGTTATTGTGTATCTTGCTGATATATTTTTTTTTCCTGGGTTTATTTTTATTTTTATTTTTATTTTTATTTTATTTTATTTTATTTTATTTTATTTTTAATTTTTTTGAGACAGAGTCTCGCTCTGTCACCCAGGCTGGAGTGCAGTGACCGGATCTCAGCTCACTGCAAGCTCCGCCTCCCAGGTTTACGCCATTCTCCTGCCTCAGCCTCCCGAGTAGCTGGGACTACAGGCGCCCGCCACCTTGCCCGGCTAGTTTTTTTGTACTTTTTAGTAGAGACGGGGTTTCACCGTGTTCGCCAGGATGGTCTCGATCTCCTGACCTCATGATCCGCCCATCTCGGCCTCCCAAAGTGCTGGGATTACAGGCTTGAGCCACCGCACCTGGCCTTCCTGTGTTTATTTTTAAGTCTGGGTCTTGCCCTGTTGCCCAGGCTGGAGTACAGTGGCGTGATCATAGCTCACTTAACCTACAACTGCTGGGCTCAAGCGATCCTCCCATTTCAACCTCCCAAGTAGCTACAACTACAGGCGTGTGCCACCATGCCTGGGTAATTTTTACAATTTTTTTTTAGATATGGGATCTTGCTGTGTTACCCAGGCTGATCTCGGAACTTCTGGGCTCAAGCAGTCCTCCTGTCTTGGCCTCCCACCGTGCTAGGATTACAGGTGTGAGACACAATGCCTGGCCTTGAATTTTTTTTTTTTAATAGAATTAATCGTTTGGGAATCAATTTATCAGTATTGTTTGTAGTGCTCAGTAAAATGATTTATATTATAGTTAGTTGTCCTGTTGGAGTTTTGTTTAATGAAAAAGTTGAGGGTTGGGATTCAGAATATACTTCCTGTTTTTCTGTGATGTCTTTTAGAAGTCTCGTATTTGGGAAATACTTGTTCACCAGTTACGTCTGGCTGAAGGAGAATAGATACCACTTAGGGACCACACTAAAAGGTGTAGGTGAGAGATTTAACATCTGAGGGCAGTATCTCTGTAACGTGTAATGAGCAGTGATTAGAACATTGAACATAATCCAGATGAAAAATGAAAAATAAAGAAGCATCAAGGAGGAAGAAGTGCTACAAGTTGGGTTTAGCATGATCTAAGGCTTAGAAAGAAGAAAAGGGTTGGTCACGGTGTTTCACACCAATAATCTCAGCACTTTCGGAGGCTGAGGTGGGTGGATCACCCGAGGTCTGGAGTTCCAGACCAGCCTGGCCAACATGGTGAAACCCCCCTATACTAAAAATACAAAAAAATTATCCGGGCATGGTGACGTGCGCCTGTGATCCCAGCTACTCAGGAGGCTGAGGCAGGAGAATCGCTTGAACCCAGGAGGCGGAGTTTGCAGTGAGCTGAGATCACGCCACTGCACTCCAGCCTGGGCGACTGAGTGAAACTCTTGTCTCAGGAAAAAAAAAAAAGAAGAAGAAAAGGCACAGGAGGGGAGATCAGAGGGACAGAATTGGTGGGGAGCAGTTAAACAGTTGTATCAGATGTGACCTTCTGCTATCAGTGGTATGAGTTATTTTTCTCAAGAGTTTGATATGTAGGTCTGAGTTTTAAAATACAGGAGGCCAGGGGTTGCTCACGCATATAATCCCAGCACTTTGGGAAGTCAAGACAGGAGGATTGCTTGAGACTGCAAACATACAGAAAAGTAGAGAGTGGCTGGCGCGGTGGCATGCCTGGGCGGATGGCTTGAGCTCAGGAGTTCAAGATTGGCCGGGCAATATGGTAAGACCCTGTCTCTACAAAAAAAAAAAAATACAAGTTAGCCAGGTGTGGTGGTGTGTGCCTGTAGTCCCAGCTACTTGGGAGGCTGAGGTGGGAGAATCTCTCTTGAGCCCAGGAGATTGAGGCTGCAGTGACCTATGATGGGGCCACTGTGCTCCAGCCTGGGCAACAGAGTTAGACCCAGTTTCTAGAAAACAGAACGGCTGGGCACAGTGGCTCATGCCTGTAATCCCAGCACATTGGGAGGCTGAGACTGGTGGATCACCTGAGGTCAGGGGTTTGAGACCAGCCTGGCCAACGTGGCGAAACCCTGTCTCTCCTGAAAAATACAAAAATTAGCTGGGCATGATGGTGTGCACCTGTAATCCCAGCTACTAGCGGGGCTGAGGTAGGAACATTGCTTGAACCCGGGAGGTGGACGTTGCAGTGAGCCGAGATCATGCCACTGTACTCCAACCTGGGCAACAGAGCAGGACTCCATCTCA